TTTGTTTTCTTTACTCCTCTTCTGCAGATTTCGATCAACTTTTTTTTTTGCACTTTAATCTTTTTCGGCTTAACAACCAATGTTTTCTGTGCCGTCAATTCTTCTCTGGTCGTCGAAAGAGCCTTTCATTATTTTTTTTCTCGCTCTTACTCGCTAAGAACCTCCTTTTTTTCTCACTAACTGGTACTGACAAGGTGCTCAATTGATTGTCTTTTGGTGCTTGTTGAAATCGTCAAGAATTTTAGAGGGATATAAAGTTTTATTGCTGTTTCACCGTCGCTTATTAAATACCATCGGTTCAGTTTTATGAAATCGGCTGCTAAACATCTTTATTTTAGTGATCTTTATTAATATGGCTTGAGCAATGGTAATGTTGAAGTAGCATTTGGGCAAAATGGCTATGCCAAGGGCAAAAGCAGGCGCTGATGGCGAGCGGGCTGTCCACCCGAACCATCTGATATATGCCAGAATGGAGAAGGTGGTGCAGAAAATGCTGGATCCAGTTAACGGTGTTCCAGTGAAAACGGTCAAAGGATTCCTGACAAATGTAAAATGTTGTTGTTGATGGTCTTGTTTATAACCGCTGTTGTTTCTTTTATTGTTAAAGTACATCAATTGTTCAGATTCCATCAGTTTTTACGGGTCAAGACCTGATCGCGTGGATGATGAAAAACTTAGAAGTTCTAGACCAGGGTAAACTTAGTACTTGTCATTTTTAAAGAGGTCAATTTTTTTGTCCAAATTATCAGAGTTAAAATTAGCTTACTTTTTTTAGCTGAAGCTTTGCATCTTGCACACTTAATCGCAGCTCATGGTTATATTTTTCAAATTGATGACCATGTGCTAACTGTCCGAAATGATGGCACTTTTTATCGATTTCAAACTCCGTATTTTTGGCCTTCAAGATGTTGGGAACCTGGAAACACAGATTATGGTGAGTTTTTAAAAAAAACCGCAAATGTTTCACTTGAATAACCGCATCTAATTACCATATCGTTTACAATTCCCATTCAGCTGTTTATCTTTGCAAACGTACGATGCAAAGTAAGCCAAATCTTGAGCTGGAAGATTTTGAGGCAGAAAACCTTGCAAAACTGCAGAAGTTGTTCAGCAGAAAGTGGGAATTTATATACATGCAAGCAGAAGCGCAGTATAAGTATGACTTAAACTATTTTTTAGATAAATGTGTCCTAAAAATGGGTAACTTTTTCTTCTTTATTATCCTTTCTTTCACCTTTTTAAAGTTCACCTTTACTGAGGTTCATATCGGGTGTATTTTTGCAACTTTATTGGACATTACTATTCTAATGTTCTTTGATGACTAGGTTATTTAAAACTGGTAAAATTTTTTTCTCTTTTTTTTTATTAAAGTGGATTTTGACCTTTGAAACGACTTATTTTCTGGGGTAACTTTTTGCTCTTCTGTTCTTGTTTGCCAGTTGTAAATAAGAGGGAAGAAAAGTAAAAAAAAGGAAACTGGAGTTAATAATTCGGTTGTAATTGAAGGGTTGACAAAAAACGAGACAGGCAAGAACGACAAATTTTGGATAGCCAGGAGAGGGCTTTTTGGGATGTGCATCGCCCTCCGCCCGGCTGTGTTAATACGACAGAAGTTGATTTCAGAAAGCTTTCACGCTCTGGTAAGTATTCATAAAGCTTATTTCTTATGAAATTGCTTATATTTCAAGTTTAAAGCTTAAATTAATCCTCATTTTTTGTTATTTTTTCAATGCTGTTGTTGGTGCTTTTCTGATAAGAGAAGAGCAAACACGCAAATACACTATGCACTCGAAAGAAAAACAAACGCGCAAAAAGAACGGAATTTGTAATACTGAATTCTCTTGCAGTTTTTTTTGAATTTCCATCCTTCGGGATTTTTTAGAAGAAAGACACAGGATGAAAATGAGAGACAGAAAAACAGTAAAAGTGGCAGGCGGAACAGGAAGAAGTTACTTGGTAACTTAAGCAAAATATTGTGCTGGCGTTTTATGTAACTGCCAAACGCCTCTCCGTTCATAAGTAAAGGAAATGCATACAAGTGCAGTTTTTTAACTTCTTTTTAGACGTTGAAGAAAAAAAAATAAAAGGAATAAATAAAACTGAGGTTTGCTTAGTTTTCTTCTATGGTTATCACAATACCACAGCGCTTCCAAATTACGTAGCAGAATAGTTAGACGTTCCCAGGCCACATATTCTCCTTCAGCGCCCCTCGAAAGATTACTTGATAATCTCTTATTTTGGCAGATTCAGTACTCTAACAAATTCTTCAAAAAGCCGGTTATGCACACGAAACTCATCACAGTGACTCAATGACTTCTGAAAACCCTAGTTTCTAGCGAATGGCCAGTCGCCAAATTTGACCAGTACTTTCATTGTCGGATTGGCTCAGTATTGCTTAAATTCACCTTAGCAGTCACTCGCTTTTAAAGGTTGTTTTGCTGACAGAACTTGGAAGAGGCCGGCAGGTCCGCTGGCTACTGTTTTCATTTTATCATGTACCTAGTTATAACAGTATTGACCACAAGTTGACCTGATCAATTTGTTCAACTTTTGCGTGACTGACAGCTAGTTTTTTTCTGACTTGTTGTCGAGATGGAATATGTTGTTTACTGGAGGCAGTGTCAACAAACAGAGGAACTTTATATAATTTTCTGGTGCCCTCACAACTTACTTCTGTAAAAAATTGGAAAAAAATCTTTTGTATTTTTGAAAAGGTTTACTTAGAAAAAGCGTGGCGAAATCTTAAGGAATTTGTTTTAAAAAATCTGAATTACCATTGGCAAGGTACCTTGCATAACCACCAATCGTAAAAGTTTCACAATTGGATACAGTAATGACACTTTCTGCTGCATATCTTATTTAAAAATGTCGTTTCACTATAGCGTGCTCAATTCAAAACTTTTTACTTTTCGCTGATAACTTCTTTCCTTTTTCTCTCTATGCCGTTTCAGTTATTTCCAATTCTTATAGATTCCTTTAAGTACAGAAAAATAAATTCTAAAATATTTTTTAAGGTAAAGCGTGACTTTTCGAAAAAAAAGAATTTCTACCTACAGTGAGTGAGCAACAGAATATTCGTTCTGCATTACCATCACAGTCACTAGAGACCCACCTAAATTCGACATCACTTTCTCATCAATTAAGCAACACCTAATTTTCCACAGTACAGTTTACGGGCCATATGAGCGTATTTCATCGTGAGTTCAAGAGCAAATGCGTCATTATGAACTGGAAGAGAGAACTATTAAGGGGCTTCAGATTTTCCTATTTATCGGGGGTATTTGTTGCTGAACTACATTGCCTGCATTCAATAAGTGGTCAGAGTTAAAAACTGTGTTGGACGAAGCAGCCAGTGGTTTTGAAGATTATTTTAGACACAACTTATAGGAACATTTTTAATCAGAAGCAGTACAGCTGTAAATACTGTCAAAGTAGCAGAAGTGCCTTGGAGGCAGCAAGGAATAGCTTGTAACTAAACTGAACCCAACTTTATGCAGTTGAATTTTTAGTGACCATTCATTAAACTAAGCGTCGGCGAGAGTGTTGCGTTGTGAAATTTCGTAAGGCTGAAAACGAACCTTCAGCATTAGAGCAATAATTCGAGGTTGAGGACAAAGTACACCATCTACAACAATTGAAAAGATGTTGGCATAGAAAAGAGCTAGTTGTGGGGTGGACAGCAGCCTTATAAAAGTTTAATATTTGTGAATTTCTAAGTTATATTACTGCCGTTTTACATTTATAAGCCATATTTTCGTTCGTTACTTTTTAATTCAGAACCAGTTAGAATGAACATCCAAAAATCAGCCGTCACTTGAAAATGCAAAAGCGATGTCATTCTTTTTATTAATACCGGTTGCATTACTTTAATGAAGTATTTTTAAAGCTATCATAACGATACAAGAAACGCCTGATGTACTGCCAGCCTAAAAGGAAATAATTTTGAAAAGACTACGAGTACACCAAAAAATTGTCATAAGCGGATGTAGTCAAAAACGGCGCAGAAGTAGTGGATCGCTGTGGTTTATTGAAGAAATTAAAGTTTCAAGAAGCTGTAGAGAATTATTCAAAAGTTTATGAAAGTTTTCTGGATAGATAAGACATAAAGAGACGACACACGTAAATAGCGAAAGTTATTTGTCATCAAATAAAAAAAACCTTTTGAATTGTCCTGGTGAAGTAGAACAGTGTCTGACTTTAAATGGTCTTTAACGGACTGGTTCTTTTAACCCCTTTATACAGATATTTTGTCCTATTCTCGCTGTTTCCGAATTTATTTCTGGTTAATAAATTTATTTTTGCTGGCTTTTATCGACTTTTTTTTGACTTTAGGCCGTCCAAAATATAGCGCTGGAGGTTTATCTATTGAAGTAAGTTCATCACCTGGCTTAACGCAGGAATCAATTGGTATACGGGAATCGCAGTTGCCATGCTCCTCGAAATCGGCTGTGGCGAAAGATGCAAAAAAAAGTTTAGAAGTTGATCAGCAAGAAGATTTGAAAATAGCCTCACTTAATTTTGATAAATTGAATATTAACAATTATGTTCAAAAACCAGGTTACCGTCGGTGTAGTCATGTTCAAGACGCTCTAAAACAGGAGGTTTCAATTTTTTCTCGTTGTTTTTTTTTTCTCTTTTTACACGTTGTCCTCGTTGTTTCTCTCATAAAGTATTTTTTTTTACAGATCTCTGCTCTTCAACTTCGTTTATCTAAGACTGTGATAAAAACCTCAAAAGTGGTTGAAAGGTAATTCCTTTTCTTTTTTGTTCACTTATTTGTATTTGCCTTATTCATTTTGGAAACGATTTTTTAGTTTCCTGCAGTATTATGAGCAGAGACGTGTTTTCGATCCATTTTTGACTCCTCCGGGTTCCTTAGCTGACCCGTTCCAAAGTCCTCCGAATCCTTGGATATCGGATACTGTTGATTTTTGGCAGCATGATAAAATGTTGGTTTTTTAGTTTTTTTTAACTTATTGAGTCTGTTGAACTTATTTAATTTTCGTGCTCGAAAAGAACTGATTTTTAGCACGGGAGAGGTATCGGTTCGGCGTTTGAAGCTATGGGCTGAAAGCTTTGAGGAGTTGCTCTCTGATGAGGCGGGAAGAGAAATACTAGAAAAATTTCTGGACAAAGAATATTCTGGTGAAAACCTGAGGTTTTGGTGGAAGGTACTTGTTTCAAACAGCTTTCTTGTTGACATCGACTCTGGCGGTCTAAAGAGCTTGTTTGAACTACAGGAGCATAAATGTTTTAAGACTCTCATACCACTGTGTGATTGAACTGATTTTTTACTTGTTATAAACCTGGTAAAACATCACTATAAACTCTTTCGTTAGTTATTACTTGCAGTAGCTAAAACTACGTTAACAATTTAACATTCAGGTTCAAAATTTGCGAAAGTGTTCACTTCGCATGGTCCCAATTCTTGTCACAGAAATCTACAATGAGTTCATTGGCCAAAATGCAACTGCTCCAATAAATATTGATTGTAAAATATTAGAAAAAACGGAAGAAAATCTAAAAAATCCGAATCGCTGGTCTTTTGATGAAGCAGCGGTAATTTTTTTTTTTTGTTCAGATTAGACAAAGTTGATTTTTTCATATTATTTGTTGAAACTCTTTTTTTACAAAAAAAAATTGCTTATTGTTTAACCCATTTTGGTTGATGGGTGTTTGCTCTCATTTTCTTCTTTTACTCATTTTTCCTTTCACATTTTAACCGTTGGTTTGGAATTTTATTCTAGGATCATATTTTTCGACTAATCAAAAATGATAGTTATACTCGTTTTTTACGGTCTGATCTCTACAAAGAAATGCTGAATCAGTCGAAGAAAAAGGTTAGTCGCTGTGTCAGATTACACTGTTTATGTTTGCAAATGGTTCACTTTCAGGTTTTTGGTCACTTTCTGGTTTTTTTTTTTTTTTTTTTTTTTTTTTTTTTTT